ATACACACACACACACACACACACACATATATACACACAAACATACATGCACACACATACACACACACACACACACACACACATACACACATATACATACACACACATATACATACACACACGCACATATACACACACACACATATATATATATATATATATATATATACACACATATATGTGTGTGTATATGCACCTGTAACCCTACCATACAGGTGCATTTTTTTTAATTTATTTTATAATCTTTATTTTATTTTCTCTCTCATTTCACTACCTACTACTGTATAGATTTTTACATAGTAAATAAAATGCATTTTTTGTAATTATATATTTTAATGTATATTTAATTGGTTTTAATATTACTACTACTACTAATAATAATAAGAGCTTTTGGTAACACTTTAGAATAGAGAACACTTATTCACTATTAACTACGACTTTGCCCTCAATAAATTCCTAATTTGCAACTTATTAATAGTTTTTATAAAATTGTATTAAATGAATAGTAAGGTAGTTGTTAAGTTTAGGTATTGGGTAGGATTAAGGATGTAGAATAAGGTCATGTAGAATAAGGCATTAATATCTGCTTAATTAGTACTAATAAATGGCTAATATTCTAGTAATATGCATGCTAATAAGCAAATGTGTTTCCATTGCTGAGTTGCAAGTGATTAAAAAAAAAAAAAAGTTTTGCATAAATGTTAAATGGATGACATGCAACATGAACTAGAAGTGCCCTTTGTGTTAGTTTACCACCTCTTAAGTAATCATGTTGTGTTAACCGTGATAAGCTATCACTTTTTAAGCATTTTAAACGAGTGTGTCCAGTAAGAGGTCAGTAAAAGTCACATCCTGTCAATGAGTGTAAACAAGAAGTTTGACACAGTACAAGCCAAAGCTTCCCATAAACCTTACAATTGGTGTTCTTCCAGAATTCTTGGAGGACCTGTTCAGTTTGAGCGGAAAGACGACTCAGCGGTTCCTCTTCAACCTGACCTCCATCCCGGGCGAGGAGTTGGTGACGTCAGCGGAGCTGCGGATTTTCCGAGAGCAGGTCGTGAGCAACGGCAGCGAGGGATTTCACCGCATTAACATTCACGAGATCATCAAACCATCCGGTTCCTTTCAAGAACCCATCACAAGACTCCTGGACACCAGGCTGGTTCAGCACAGCTTGAGCAAGTGGGAGAGTTTCGACGTGAGCCCCGCCGTCACGAGGTGGACCGCAGACGGGCACCCCAACCACGGCTTCGTGGTGGAAATAGTTCACCCGGACCGCGCGGAAGAGGACTCCAAAAGACACATCCGCATCAGCAGGTCCCTGCACGACAGAGAGGACAAGTGGCCCCAAATGAGGCCGCTGTTGGTGACCTACTGCCACGACGGGAAGGGAAACGTGTTGCACTCTCGCGAGAAGAGACAAGTGCGGACAAACAAACAGCGGAAGAAGCACAAAGCTAACTGCAGGAGACATTCCCTCTATGTGGACTTCAGCGATGTGGGGTGGAACGACTGGATAGTCGCCCCGCCGGGCTACCATGCCTTTTACTGCCAGGGTGAGTGTCCGTTTCCACTGGCGGACCACCTGAACTCCACCAATCACGCTATTGTACAGACACTGGTGAACTCAGTGAACAGCAACATTCCCCGGGCCTGCTGCGTTCCCACGGACCTG